GAAGGGGTGGGGGGGGGCTGAGGGGGTCCGACCCTATAAAAAGGCAGGAGAGGCTCCGTGCCTCAGCACTGAATATACGTGATCTGCCCCACCTCAGTACTGTCTGTAAGTATACCAACACACCAGAGTCCAGCAGCGTGGATCTTCAGTAGACCGTTAATAGACTTAGTATGCACCCGCACCCGCACCCGCACCCGCAGGTGGAGGTGGCTTTAGCACTTAGCCGGTTAGCGGGATAAATAGGTATTTTATTTTAAATCAAACAAAAAAGATGACATTTAGGTCAAATGTGTGACTACGTTTGGACTTTAAATTCCACCAGGTGTTTTTTTTACAGTAAATAATAATAATAACAATAATAAACAAATACATTTAGGATGTTTATCTGTACGGTCCAGTTCAGCACTGGCCTCAGGTCAGATGCTCCTGCAGTGAACGAACAAATCTACGCTGTGGTGAAATGATGAACGAGGCAGATTAGTCACCAGTGACACCACAGAAGAAGAAGAAGAAGAAGTGTGTGGAGAATGAATGTTTGGAGCTGCAGTTGGATTGAATCCTGTTATTCCTGCCTTGACTTTGTTTCATCTCCACAGGGAGAGCCAGTCTTTTTTTCATTGTTTTTCCTTTTGATGTTTCAGCATCATTTATGATGTGTTTTATTTTAACTCCAGAGAGAAACTGCCGCAGCCATGAACCCTCAGCAGATGGAGCAGATGGGTCAGTTCAGGATCACGGTCTGGGAGGAGGAGAACTTCCAGGGGAAGAGATGTGAGTTCATGCTGGAGTGTCAGAACATCATGGAGAGGGGCTTCCACAAAATCCGCTCCCTCAAGATCGAGAACGGACCGTAAGTCAACTTTCCTGCCGACCTGTGGTTCAATTCCCACACTTACTAAAAACTTTTTTTTTTTTAAATGTCAAAACTGAGTTAATTTCAAAGACTAATATCAGAGGAATAATTGACCTGATGCTGCAGAGATTTACCAGCTCCACAATCCAATACAATCACATTAATATGGTTCCGGCTTATCTGATCAGAAACACACAAATGACGACTTCAATAACAAACGCAATCAATCAATGGAAATAAATAACAGCAAAAATCACAGAAAGCGTACATTAATAACAAACAGTGATTAATAACCAGCTGCTGTTACTGCAGCACCAGCTGCAGCCGACTGTGACCCTGCAGTGATATGAGTTGGCCGTGTGCAGCTGTGGGCTACGAGTCGCTTTGTCTGACTGACTGACGATCAGATAAAGGGTGGAGCAGGAGCAGGAGGTGCAGCGGAGGCAGGAGGAGCAGTATCTCCTGTTTGTTTTGAGCCGGCGGAACAAAGGAACGTACGACTGTGGCTAAAAAAAAAAAAAAAAACCCTTTAACATCGAAGAAAGAGTTCAGTTTGTTGTATGTGGGAAGTGTTCCTGCCTTACAATCTGGAGGTCATTTGTTCAAACCCTGGTGCTGGTATCTGTTGTTTTCAGGTATAGTTTGCCTGAGCTCTAACAGCAGAAACTAGAGGTCGACAGTAATTAAACACAGCGGTTAGCGTTCTTGCCTAACGGCAAAAAAGGTCATCTATTCAAATCTCAGTGTTTACTGATTGGATTTTCGTACATAGTTCGCAAGACGGTTACACAGGGGTCAAACTGCGGTAAGTGCCTCTGCCTTACAGTGCAGATGGTCACCTGTTTGAATCTCTGTATGGTTTTGGTCTCTGGTCTGTGACCCCGCCCTGACCCCTGACATATATCTGTGTATCTGCTGCAGCTGGGTGGGCTACGAGTACCCCGAGTTCCAGGGACAGCAGTTCATCCTGGAGAAGGGAGACTACCCGTGCTACCAGGCCTGGAGTGGAAACATTGGCTACAGAACCGAGCACCTGCTGTCCTTCAGACCCATCAAGTGTGCCGTAAGATCCTCCATCCTTGTTTCCATCCTTTGACTCCTTGTCTCCTCCACCCTCTGTGACAGAACACACTTTAACTGCCTCTTCCAACAGAACCACAGCGACAGCAAGATGACCCTGTACGAGTGTGAGGACTTCCAGGGCCGCAAGTTCGAGCTGTGCGACGACTACCCCTCCCTGCAGGCCATGGGCTGGTGTAGCAAGGAGGTGCCCTCCATCAAGATCAACTCTGGAGCGTAAGCTACGACCCCTCTGACCTTCAGAGGCAGAACTTTCATTTCAGTTCCTGCAGAATTCTAGGGGAATCATTTATATTTATAGCAGACACTAGTGGGTGCTGTTGAGGGACAATTTATGAGTAAGTATTTTAGGAGGGACTCCTATTAACAACTATGATTATTAGAATGGTTGAAGTAAAAATAAATATATTTTGGACGGGTAGTTAGAGCAAATATAAATAGACAGACAGTGGAACTCTAAATATTCAGTACATGTTATTTTGCATCTTTGTTATAACTGATTTGATTTTTTTAATCTGACCAATTCCATAAATTATACAAAATTAATTTGTTAATTCCTGCAGCTTTTATTTAAAGTTTTTTTACACGCTGTACGCTGTGAATTAAATGAATTATTTCTTATCTTATGTCTTTATAAAATAACAAAGATAATCTTTTATCTTCAGTGATGAGCGTGTGAAGCCTACAATAGCCTTTAGTCACCCCTCCCCCCTCCACCCCCCCTCTGTGTCCCTGCAGCTGGGTTGCCTATCAGTTCCCTGGTTACCGTGGTTACCAGTACATCATGGAGAGAGACAGACACCAAGGAGAGTACAGAAACTACAACGAGTACAGCACCCAGGCTCACACCAACCAGGTGCAGTCCATCCGTAGGATCCAACAGTGAGCCTTCACTCTGACGACCTCTGACCTGAAACCAAAAAAAAAGCCTCCAGCTGAACTATTTCCTGTCCGGAGCGCGGGACGGAACGCTGTCAGAGATCCGTAGATGGACAAACTCTTTCTGTCTCTCTGTGGATCTTCTGCGTCTACGGAAATGGAGTCACTTCTTCTTCTACGATGAAGCATGATTTTGAAAAAAAAAAAAGGAAATAAAATCTTTTCTTTAAACCTAACGTCATGTTGTCAGGATTCTTTCTTTCATCTCTTCATTCAAACTAAACAAAGACCAGTCGTTCCAGACATTCTGGAACCTCATTTTGACATCACACATTTCTGACACCACAGACTTCACGTGATCACAGCTGTCAATCAAGATGTGCCGGCTATATTTATATATATTTACATATATCAATTACTAGGTATTTCACATGACCTACTTTTAATTCCAGGTGACCCCACATGGGGTCACGACCCCATGGTTTAATAATGTACCAACAGTCATAATACAGGTTCCCGTATAAGAACCGATGGAGTTCTACTGGTAAGAAATAAGGAAATAAACTAACCCTTCAGGAAACGGGTGTCAAAAATATTACGAGGTGTTTCTGTTGTTTTTTTTGTCAGACAAATGTGTTCAAATAAACAAACAAAGAAACTTTACTGTTGTTTTAATTATTTTGTGTCTTTAACTAGAGATAAAAAAGAAGCAAAGCCGGGTTTTTTCAAATTTGATAAAACTTTAAACTGTGAAATCGATCAGTTTAAATTCTACATTTTGGGCTCTTGAATCTTTTAGCTACATTTACCCGATGAAAAAGTCCAGTTTTACACTGCAGCTCAACGCTAAGGCAGAGAGGCTGTTTTAGCTTCGCTAACTCTAGAACAGCTACTCTGAAGTCAGTTGGTGGAAAACTAATTTAAACCCATGTGTTTGCAGTCACTTTAGCTGCTCCTTAATATCAACAAACAGGATGCTAATTTACTGGGGAAGCCTGAAGGGTTGTTGGTCCGATTCTCTGCCTTCACTGTGTTGTGCAGGTACAAAAAAAAAAACTACTGGGGAAGCCTGAAGGGTTGTTGGTTCGATTCTCTGCCTTTACTGTGTTGTGCAAGTACAAAAAAAACAAAAAATATTTTCACAGACTGAATTTCATGGTTGGTTCAACGGCAAATTTTGTTGAATTAATATGTTGTTGTTTATTTTTTTCATCTATTCTCCTCTTCTTCTAGTAGCAGGATTACTCTCTTGGCTGATGATACGTGGCTCTACTTTGCATCAGTTGACGATGCTCGGTACAAGAACACGCCCTGGCCTGGGTGTTGATAACCATCTCAGGATGTAGGACCTGTTAGACAGCTCAGTGAAGGTGTCTAACACAAACAAAAACCCAAAGGTGTGAAACTCAAACATCAGCCCAAACCACTCTCAACCCGTGGCCACAACGATGACGGCTGGGAACGGTTCGATTTCAGCTTAACGGTAACGTCTGCAGCCTGACACGGTACGAGCCGAACAAACGCTCCACATCTGAGGCCTGGAGTCCACGTGTGTAACAAATGAAACGCAGATATTACAAAGCGGCAGCTCAGCATCTGTTTGTTTATTCTAACGCGCAGCGCCACAGTTATCCTGCAGGCCTGCGCCGGGTTCCTGGAGTGTGTTTACCTCCACACACTCCTCCTGTCGGTCCAGGAAGTGGGATTCCGTGTTACACACCCAGGAGTCGTCAGTGTCTCACTGTCCCACACCCAAAAAACCAGGATCTTTTAATAAATGTGTAACCGTGCACACACACACACCTTTCTCAAACATACATACCTGTGCACACTGATTAAAGAGGCTGCACTCTCACTACCTCAGAGGAGTCGGTCTTCAGTGCTGCACTAAGTGGGAAGCCGGACACCAGCAGCTCCAAGGTAGGTGTCTGACACCTGAGGTTTTAGTGTCAAAGTTGACTTTGGTTTTTCTGTTTTTTAAAATATTGTCATTTTAAAGTAAGTAAATGGTTAAAAGACTATAGTTTTACTCCTAGTTTTAGGACTTTGTTTTTCTACTAGACTAAATCAAGTTTGATGTTTTCGCCTCTAGTTTAGATGAAACATTTTGTCATTGTGTTTTGTGTTTTCATCTGTGCGTGTTGGTCACTGATTGGAAGTCCCTGCTGCGTGAGGTGAAGACGCCATACCTGCACATCCACAGTCGACCGCCGCTCCACCCTCGGACCAGTCTAGCTTTCAAGGCTTGTTTTAAGTTGCCTGCGGCTTTTACTTGGACACAGGCAGCTAAAGCAAGTCTGGGACGCCACTGACACGACCACACGTCCAGCCCCCGAGAACCGCTGCAAAGACAAGAGAAGAAAACAAAGACGGAGTTTTAGCTCAGGAAGTGGATAACAGGTGATATTTGTTGATTTGAGGAAAATAAAAATCTGAAGTTTTGTCATAAAAAACAGAACAGACAGAAATAAGAGCCGGTCAACTCTGTTATTGACGCAGATTATTGGCATAAAATCGCACAATCAATGAACGTACTTGTTTACATTTTGTTTAATCTTTTAAAGTAACATGTTGCAGCTAATGTTTAGGTTTTAAAGGAATGAATATAATTTTTATTGCATTATTTTTCAAAGGACAAAGAACAAAGATGTAAATACACACACACATCTGTCACTGTGTTTATTTGTTGTGTTTATTGTTGTTTTTGTAAAAAAAATATTTAATGTTTCTATTTACTTTGACTAGTTAAATAGACACAAAATAAATTCATTTGGCTGCAAAAATATAGATCAGAATTTGTTTTAAATAAAATTGTAAAATATTCTGTTCCAGAGTCACGAGAACAGAAGTGACCCTTAAAGTAGTGCACAAATATGGACCTACATATATTGATGAGTAAAATATTCTGTTCCAGAGTCACGAGGACAGAAGTGACCCTTAAAGTAGTGAACAAATATGGACCTACATATATTGGTGAATATATATATATATATATATTATACATTTTCTCATCATGCAGGCTTCACAACAACAACCACATTCATGTACAAATAGGAAAGTCTTAACAAAACAAAGTGACAACATGCTGGAGGTTGAAACGGTATTTTAAGCTGAAGGTACGTGGGTGAAACGAAAACTCTTCCCTGCAGTGTGTGCAAATAACATGGCTGTGCAGTTAATCAGTTTGTGAATATCATTAATTCTATGTATAGAATCAGTCACGTTGGACTGAATTACAGCATAAACCAGGCTGATCTGTGGGTCTACAGATTAAAAAACAAAACCTCAGAGCATGAAAAGTCACGGATTTAACGAGCAGCATGACCAGCCCTCAGAGGCGGAGGCTGTCGAACCTTAAACCCACCAACAGAAGGTCAATGTTCTTGTTTTCTCGTGTGCACTGAGGCGTGCGTTTCAAGGTAAATGTTCTTTTCCCGAGGCGAACCAGGTCCGCGCTGTTTGCCCAGAGGTAAAGAGGCGGAAAAGTGAGGAGGATCTGAACTGGTTTCCATGTCAAACACTTCAATTCACCATAGAAACTCAGATCTTAACGTGGAAACTTTATTAAACTGTGATGGCGGATTGATAAGGCCCGAATTTCTATCGCTCTCCTTTTATTGTGGCCACCAGGCGGACTGACAGAGGTAAATTGCTCTTTTAATTAAAGCAATGCAGCAGGGGAAATTGCTGTCTGAATAATGTCTCGGAGATGGGGGCCAGTGACAGTTGCCTGGAAACTTCAATCTGTTCCCCCCGCATTTATTCCAGATCACAGTTATGAGATAAAGTTTAATAAAAATCGTTTCCTCTGCCGCCAACGAAATGAAATCCAACCCTTTCTGAACGAGTGAGCACAATGAGGCCGGACTGCGGAGGAAACCTCATGTTCAACATGTATCTCTCAGGTTGGTCGTTTTGTCCCCGCAAAGTCACGCAAACCGCGGCTCCCGGCCCGATTCGCTGGTCTGTGCACGGGCTGCGGTCATGCTCCACCTGCAGGGTTCGGCTTTGTTCTGCCTTTTCAATCTGGGAGCCCGTCTGCTCTTTTGTCGGAAATCGGAAATCCTTTTTCCTGGACGCGTTTCCTGGCTCCTGACAGAAGAGACCGCACAGAGGACGCGCCAAAAGGCATTAGACTGGGACCGGGCGGAGACGCGTTCGCGGGATTCCAGAATAATTCAGAATATTCCAGAATGTTCGACGCTAATGCGAAAATGTTTCTTATATTTGATGTTTTGTTTGGTTTTTTTTAAATCAACATTTCTGACTCTCCACGGTTGATTTTTTTATATATATATTTTGGTGAAAGGTTTATTTTGTTATAGAGTCGTAACTTATTTTCTACCTAAAACTAATCACGGTTTATTTTATATTCCTCACAGTCAACGTTGATTTCCTACAGTATTATATATTTTTCAGAAACATTTTCTTATTTTATTTCCAGTTTTTTAAATAAAACCGGGCAAAGCTACATTTTCTCGTATTTGACATTTTTAAATTCATATTTCTGAATATCTACAATAATATCTGGAATTTATTTAAATTTGTTTTAGTACTGACTAAATTTATTAACCCTGTAACAAAACAAAACGTCTGTATTTTATTTTCCTCAGTTTCCGACCGTCGCTGCGTCGTCGTTATTTCTGTTTCTCTGCAACAAAAATGTTACATTTCGGAACAAGAAACGCGAATATAAACAAAATATATATATCATGTCTATTTCCGACTGCAGCTTTTAAAATATATTCTCTATTTTTTGCAGCTCAAGAAGCACAAAAACAATTATATTTTATGTCGACAGAAGACTTTGTTTATTTTGGTAGAGGTTTTATTTATTTAGAGCTCAAACATATATTTTACAGGAAGTGTTATATTTGGAATTATATTTATCTTTAGAAGAACAACTATCTACGATATGGAATATATATTTTCCTGAATACATTTATTTATATTTATTTATAAAATAAATTCATTTCAATTCATATTTATTTATATAAAGGTCTTAGTTGTGAATACATTTATTTATATTTATTTATATAAAGGTCTTTGTTATTTGAATTCAAACGCTTTATTTACTTTTTTATATCCAATGCTTTAATATTTCATTTTCAATTTCAAAATACATTTTAAAATATGAATCTATATTTTAATTATTTTATATATTTGTGACTCTCAACATTAGCCTTTACTTTTTATTGTATTGTATTGTGTCACAGTTGTTTAAAATCACAGCTGTGAACATTTGAATATGTTTTTTTGAAGCTAGATTTGATTTGAATTTGTTTAACAAAAATACGTATTAATTAAAATTCAGCTGCGACGTGATGGTGATGGTGATGATGGTGATGATGGTGACGATAGTGACTGTGGTGAATGATGGTGATGATAGTGATGATGGTGACTGTGGTGATGATCAGTGTCACTGTTTAATTTCAGATCCAACAGAGAATCTGTTGAAAGAAACCAAAGGGACTTCGTGGGGTCCATTAAACACCGGAGTACAGAAAGGTAGGTTGGTTTTTTTAAATCATTATAAAATATGTTAAAATGTTCGTTTTTATAACATAAAACAACCGGTTGGTAAATATAATTATATTTCTTCATTTCTTCCTATAAATAATAATGTTTATTAACCATTCGTTGACAGATTTTCTGTTTCTTTGTCCAATTTTCGGATTTAAAAAAACAAAAACTCAGATGGTATAGAAGAATAATTTATATATTTTTATCTGAATTAAAAAAACCTGTGGCTTAGGTTTATTTAAATATAAACAGTAACTAAGGTCAAATTGACTGATGGTGACGTCAGTTTTATAATTATTAGAAAATACAAGACTAATATATTTGGGTGATGCTGCGTTCAGGGACCAAAGTAACAAACCAAACAAAATAAAATAGTTACTTAAAAGAAAATCAACTTATCAATACATCGTACGCACGATTTATTTTATAAAACACAAAACGGCCACATGTTAAATCCACGCCCGACGTATTGTATCTGTTTAAATGTTTGAAGGGTGAGTGCAGCTGTTTTAGTGCAGCTGTTTTAGTGCAGCTGTTTTAGTGCAGCTGTTTTAGTGCAGCTGTTTTAGTGCAGCTGTTTTAGTGCAGCTGTTTTATTGCCCTGCAGGCAGCGGGCAGATCCAGCTGTGGCAGTTCCTCCTGGAGCTGCTCTCCGACAGCACCAACATGTCCTGCATCGCCTGGGAGGGAACCAACGGCGAGTTCAAGCTCATCGACCCGGACGAGGTGGCCCGACGCTGGGGGGAGCGCAAGAGCAAACCCAACATGAACTACGACAAGCTGAGCCGCGCGCTGCGCTACTACTACGACAAGAACATCATGACTAAAGTGCACGGCAAGAGGTACGCGTACAAGTTCGACTTCCACGGCCTGGCGCAGGTGTGCCAGCCCTCCACCACGGAACAGGCGCTCTACAAGTTCCAGGGCAACTTTTCCCCGATTCCCTTTTCAGGGATCTCCAAACTGAACCTCATGGCTCCGGCCGTGGGGCCCTCGGGCTTCTCCTACTGGCCCGGATCCGCACCCACAGCGCTCTACCACAGCCACAACCTGCAGCCGCCGGGGCCCTTTGGCACAATGTCCCCGTCCCACGTCAGCTGTGTCAACCACATCAACGGCCTGAGCGCCGTCAACGGTCACTACAACTGACCACAGGGGGGCGTCTGTGGGTCACACAGGACTGTGAGGACAGTGGTGGAGGAGGGAGGAGGGAAGGGGGAGACGGAGAGAGGAGAGGAAGGCTGAGGGAGGAAAAAGGCATCTTAAATTCTCACCCAATAAAAGTAAAAACAAGTAAATAAATGAGTGAATCGGTAAATAGACAGAAATAAAAACACGTTTTTGTTGTTAACGTGTCACTGGCATCAACAAAACAGACACGTTTTTAACCCTACAGGACCAACATAGAGTAGACACGGCCGCCACGTTAACTCCTGGTTTTACTCCTCTCCTAAAAAAAATGAATCCATGAACTTGTCGACATCCAATAATAATAAAAACACAAAAAGCACAACCTCTGTTTTTATAACGGTTTGGTTTTTTTTTGTTGCATTTTTTAAACGTCTTTTTTGTTTTTCAGTCACATTTCTTTTGTATTCAAGTGTGTTTTCAAGCCGACGCCAACGATTACTGGACCTTTTCTGCCATCTAGTGGCAAAATTGAGAAGCCCAGGTTTATAACACAAACGAGAACTAGTAATTTTCGTATTCGATTAATCACGTGATTGCCGTCTGTAATAACCAATGATAAATCCTTGTTTCAGTCACACAGACTCTAAAGTTCACGTTAAACCCCAAAATAACGACAGAATCCAGTTCATTTTCACTATAAAAAACAAATTAATTCACAAAGTGCAGAAATCCAGGCAGATTATTTGGTTCTCATTCACAGTGAGTGTGTTTCTAAAGAACATTCTGGGGTCAGGGGTCAGGGTCAGTCAGGGTCAGGGTCGGAGGTGACCTCTCTAACCTCTTTTGGTTTTTACAAGGATATAATGAAAATAAAATAAAACAAAATATTAAGACGACCATTCACACCTACATTCAATGTCAAAACAGTGACGTCATTCCTATAAGGCATGAGGACCACCCACTCTGACACCGTGTGGTCCCATTATAACTCTGACATTATTATCATGATAATTTCTAAGTCTGCTGTGATAACTTGAATGAATAAATGTGACATTAACAATCTTACCCACGAGAGGGCGCCATTTACTACCAAGAATTAAAGGCTCTTTTTCATTACCCTGGGTCCAACTCAGTGCTACTGAAATCTGAAAATCTGAACCGTCAACAAAGACATTTTTCTGCCTCCACCGGGTCTTCATTGACTAAAAAGTCAATTTTTGGCACAAACCGCAATACAGTCACATTCATAATAATAAAAATGATTTTGTTCAGATTTTGTTTAGGGTTGGGGCTGAGAAAAGGCACATTCTTTGACCTCACAAAACACAAAATCCAGTGTGTGTGTGTGTAAGAGAGAGAGGGAGAGGGAGAGAGCGAGAGAAAGAATTTTCAGCTGTCAATAGCAGATCTATTGATATGCAAGGCACACAAACAGTGTTGCACACTGGTCCACTGTGATGTGTCCAGTCTCTCCTGTTAGGACTCTGCACAAAGGATAAGGTTTAAACAAAGTCTGACCTCTGACCTTGACCTAACCTAATGAAACTAGGTGTGTAGGTG